AAAAAAAAAAAAAAAAGGAGGGCCTTAATAATGAGAAACTTCTACCCTGTAGCACCCCCATGTACCTCTGCCTTCTGGGACCACAGAAGGGGTCTGCTCCCTCTTTCACAGGTTGCTCTGTAGATATCTGAAGGCACTCTCACCTTTACCAATAAGCATTTCTTTTTCTTTTTTTGAGGCAGAGTTTTTGCTCTGTCACCCAGGCTGGAGTGCAATGGCACGATCTCCACTCACTGCAACCTCCACCTCCTGGGTTCAAGCGATTCTCCTGCCTCAGCCTCCCGAGTAGCTGGGATTACAGGCGCCCACTACCACACCCGGCAAGTTTTTGCATTTTTAGTCGAGATGAGGTTTCACCAGGTTGGCCAAGCTGGTCTCAAACTCTTGACCTCAGGTGATCCACCCGCCTTGGCCTTCCAAAGTACTAAGATTACAGGGGTGAGCCACCATGCCTGGCCGCCAACAACTATTTCTTAAGAGGCAGTCTCCAGTCCTCTCCCAAACCTGGTTACCACCTCGGGACCCATCCTATGCATTGGTTTCCTCAGCACGTAAGAAGTGTTCAGGCCAGGATAGAATAGAGCAGAACTGTCACCTCCATTGTCCTAGGCGCTGTACTCCTCTTAATACAACCTAAGGTCATACTTCAACATCCATCAATCACACTGTCAACCCTGAACACAGCACCCCTGTAAGCCTGAGTTTTTCTACACATGCTGTTGCACAGCCACACTTCGTAGACCCTACACTCAAAGAACCTAGGCTAAGGCTTCCTCAATCCTGGCCACACACTGAGCAGCTTGTGCAGATTCTCAGGCCCCACCACAGACCCACTGGTGCTGACAGTAGTCAATGACCATGTGCTGAACTGAATCCCATGGAGGCCCCCACACTGGGGTCTCCACCTAGACTCACCTGCAGGCGCCAGATACGCTCGCTCTCCTTGGAGACGTTCTCCACAGTCTCGCCCATCAGGGCAATGAGCATGTTGAGGAGCAGAACGAAGGTGAGGATGACGTAGGTGATGAGCAGGAACAGAAAGAGAATGGGATACTTGGAGTTCTGCTGGATGTTCAGGTCACCCAGGCCGATGGTGAGCTTGAAGAGTTCCAGCACCGCGTCGCTGAAGCTGCCGTAGGAGCTGCAGTCCTTGTTGTCTTTGGGACACTTCTCGATCAGTGAGGCCAGAGCTAGGGGAACATAACAGGGTGCTCTCCTCAGCTCTCCGCCTGGTGAATTACTCTACAAGCTTGCGTGTATTTGCCCACATGACAAGCCTGCTGTCTCCTTCTCTCTGGCCATTAAATCCCATCTCCAGCTTCAGGTCCTCCCAAAGCCTCATCGGGCTGACTTCTCTGCCCTGGCCTCCTGCAGAAAGCTCTTCCGCCTAACAAAGCCCAGAGTCTTCTCTCCTTCCTCTACCCCACAGTCGGCCCTTGATCACTTCCAGCCTTGCAGAGTTACTAATTATAATCCATGTGTGTGTCCCTGGCTCCCCAGCTAGTTTTTGAGCTCCTGACTTCCTCTAGCCTGAGTCATCTCCCTCAAGGCTGTAAGATCCTGAGTCTCCTCCTAATGCTCTGTTGTGAGTTTCCCATGAGCAAGATCAGGCTCACACTTCCCTTCTTTCCAACACACCACAGTAGACGTTCACTGCTGGATGGATGGATGGATGGATGGATGGATGGATGGATGGATGGATGATTAGATGGATGATTGGATGGATGAATGAATGAATGGATGGATGGATGGACGAGGGATTAGATGGATGGATAGATAGATGATTGGATGGATGGATGGATGGAGGGAGGGAGGGATGGATGGATGGATGGATGATTGCATGGATGGATGGATGGATGGATGGATGGATGGATGGATGGATGGATAGATGGATGGATAGATGGATGATTAGATAGATGGATGGATAGATGATTGGATGGATGGAGGGATGGATGGATAGATGATTAGATGGATGGATGGATTGATGGATGGATGATTAGATGGACGGATGAATGAATGGATGGATGATTGGATGGATTGATAGATGGATGGATGGATGGATGGATGGATGGATGGATGGATGGATGGATAGACAGGTGGATGGATGGATGGATGGATGATCAGATGGATGGATGGATAGATGATTGGATAGATGGAGGGATGGATAGATGGATGATTAGATGGATGGATGGATTGATGGATGGATGATTAGATGGATGGATGAATGGATGGATGGATGATTGGATGGGTGGATAGATGGATGGATGTATGGATGGATGGATGGATGGATGGATGGATGGATGGATGGATGGATGACTAGATAGGTGGATGAGCAAATTAAATGAGAGAGTAAATAGATGGATTAATAAACAAGCAGGTGAAGGAGCAAATAAATAAGCAAATTGTGACCCAGAAGAGGTACCAGACAGATGGACACAGCTACCTAATTTCAAATGTCAGTGGTCACCGAAGAAAAGAAAAAAAAAGCAACTGGTATGTGGGGGGAAACGATCTCTCTATGCAGAGGTTAGGAATGCAACCAGATGGTGCTGTTCCCTCTGTCGCACATGGAGAGATTTTAAGAGGGGGCTCCTTCCTGGTCCCAGCAGACCAGAGAGGCTCTCACAGTTATATCTGAAGCGTACTGTGAGAGCAACATGATGCGAAACCCAAAGGAAGTTGCCTCAGGGCATTACTTTGCTCCTACTTTGCAAAGACCATCAGTCGAGTTTCTGTGGACTTTAGTTTCCCCATCTGTAAACTCGGGCTGAAAACACTTGCAGGACCTGTCTTAGGTCGTGAGGGCCACATAAGCAATGAATGGGAAAGCCAGAGGCGTGTACCACACGGTGAAGCTGGATCATGAGTGGCTGGCCTGGTTCAAATCCTGGAGTCTCTAAGCCTCAGCTATCTTATGATCGGGGCGACGACTCCCACTTGATCAAGTTGTTGAGAGAAGTAAAAAGGTAATGCTTGGAAAATGCCAAGCTTGGCAGGTGCCCCACTGGTAGCTGGTCTAATTGCTGCTGAGGCCACCATATGCTTTGTCATTTTGACATCTGAATAAAGTGTTTATAAATGTGGGAGTTACTATCATTTATAAATCAATTACCTACTCCAAATCCAAGCAAAAAAACGATATATACGAACAAGAACTTCAAAACATCATGCAAAATGACCTACAAAGAAATAAACATAATTCAAGAGTAAGATATAAGCACATATTCACGGTCCCCTGATCTTCCTGCTTCCCACCCTCTCCCACCTCCCCCCTAACCATCTCCTCACTCACTTAGGCCACTCTCCCTTCCCCCAGCCAAATCCTCCTGATGCTCCAATACCCAGCTCTGAATCCCACTTCCTCCAGGAAGCCTTCTGTTTCTGCTCTAGCCCCAGGTTCTCTTCTCCCTGTGATTCACCCTGTGCCTTTCACCATAGGGTCTCACATCCGGAATCCTCACATTCCTGGGGGCAGTGGCATGCTAGAGCCAGCTCAGAACAGCTCGCAAGAGCTGTTAACTTCTCATGAAGTTTGTGAGCTGGTTGTTAAACACAGCCATTATTCAGAACTAAATCAAACTTTCAGTTATACGATGAATAAGTTCTGGGGATCTAATGGACAGCATGATGGCTGTAGTTAACAATACTGTGTTGTGGATTAGAAATTTGCTAAGAGAATAGATCACAAATGTTCTCACCCCACAAAGAAATGGCAACTATGTGAGGCAATGGGTATGTTAACTAATTTGAAATTGGGAATCATTTCATAATATATACCTATATCAAATCCTCATATTGTATATCTTAAATTTATACAATTATATATGTCAACTATACCTCAATAAAGTTGGGGATAAGGCCGGGCGCAGAGGCTCATGCCTGTAATCCTAGTACTTTGGGAGGCCAAGGCGGGCGGATCACGAGGTCAGGAGATCAAGACCATCCTGGCTAACACAGTGAAATTCTGTCTCTACTAAAAATACAAAAAATTAGCCGGGTGTGGTGGTGGCACCTGTAGTCCCAGCTACTCAGGAGGCTGAGGCAGGAGAATGGGGTGAACCCGGGAGGCGAAGCTTGCTGTGAGCTGAGATCGTGCCACTGCACTCCAGCCTGGGCGACAGAGCAAGACTCCATCTCAAAAAAAAAAAGAAAAAAGAAAAAAAAGTTGAGGATAAATTATTATTTGTATTGCCAAAAAATTAAACCATATAAACTTACAATTAAATAAAGTAAGTTATATTTAAAACAGAGACAAGCCGGGCGCAGTGACTCAAGCCTGTAATCCCAACACTTTGAGAGGCCGAGGTGGGTGGATCGCCTGAGGTCAGGAGTTGGAGGCCAGCCTGGCCAACATGGCAAAACCCCGTCTCTACTAAAAATACAAAAATACAAAAAAAAAAAAAAAATACAAAGGTGGCACTCACCTTTGATCCCAGCTACTCCAGAGGCTGAGGAAGGAGAATTGCTTGAACCCAGGAGGAAGAGGTTGCAGCGAGCCTAGATCGTGCCACTGCACTGCAGCCTGGGAGGCAGAGCAAGACTCCATCTCAAAAAATTAATTAATTTAATTAAATAAAACAAAGACAATAAATGTTCAAAACTCATCCCTGTCTAGTTATTTCACTATATTTACAATTGTGTGTGCTTTTGAGGTTACTTATCTCTATGATAGCCATATGGCGGGAATTCTAGAGTGGTGTGGATCTGCATGTTTCTCCCTAACTCCACGTCCAGTAACATAACGTTGGTAGCTGGAAACTGGCCCTGGGAGGAGAACAGTAGTCCGCCCTTCTCTTCAATTTCACTTTCTGCAGTTTTGGTTGCCTGTGGTCAACTAAGACCCAGAAATCTTACACACAATACAATATTCTGAAAGAGAGAGACAACGCTCATCTACTTTTATTACAGTGTATTGTTATCGTTGCTCTGTTAGTTATTGCCATTAATATCTCTGTGCCTAATTTATAAAATACATTTTATAAATTCCACATAGCCAGTTGAGTCTCAAAATCATTTGTTGCTTCCCCCCACCCGCCCCCAGCACTTTGGGAGGCCGAGGCAGGCGGATCACCTGAGGTCAAGAGTTGGAGACCAGCCTGGCCAACATGGTGAAACCCCGTCTCTACTAAAAATACAAAAATTAGCTGGGCCTGGTGGCGCACACCTGTAGTCCCGCTGGGCGGGAGAATTGCTTGAGCCCGGGAGGCAGAGGTTGCAGTGAGCCAAGATCGCACTATTGCACTCCAGCCTGGGCGACAGAGCGAGACTCAGTCACCAAAAAAAAAAAAAAAAAGCAAAAAATTATTCTAAGACTCAACTGGCCAAGTGAAATTTACAATAAACTGTATTGTATAGTATATTTTCATTATTTGCATAGATGTATACGTATAGGAAAAAACAGCATATTATATAGGGTTTGGTACTATCTGCAGTTTCAGGCATTCATGGGGGGTCTTAGAACATTTTCCCCAAGAATAAGGCGGGGCTACTGTATTTACATCATGAAAATTAGTAAATGCCACAAATCAGAGATTGATTGACTCATTGTTTTGTTGATATCTAGATCTAAATGATTTAAGACAGTAATGGAGAAACTATTAATCCAGATCAAATTTAAAATGTGTTCTGTCCACAGCCTTTACATTGTGTGTAGCACAAAAATACCAACAGAATATTCTTCTGATATTTGCAAACTAGTATCCAAACTAGTTTGCAAACTAGGATCCAAACTTTGCAAACTAGCAAAGAAGTTGCTCACATCATTGATAAACAAGTAAAGTTCAACATAAATCTTAATTGTTTTACTTTAATCACTGCTTATAAAGAAAAATCTCAACCAACATTCATATCTGAACAGCACTCTTCTGTCAAATGCAACCAAAAGTTGACAACAAAAACTAGAATTCAATAAAAAGCAACAAATAGGCCGGATGCAGTGGTTCACGCCTGTAATCCTAACACTTTGGGAGGCCAAGGTGGGTGGAGCACCTGTTCAGGAGTTCAAGACAATCCTGGCCAACATGGTGAAATCCCATCTCCACTAAAAATACAAAAATTATCCAGGCATGGTGGTGCATGCCTGTAATCCCAGCTACTCTGGAGGCTGAGGCGGGAGAATTGCTTGAACCCAGGAGGAAGAGGTTGCAGTGAGCCAAGATCGCACCACTGCACTCCAGCCTGGGCAGCAGAGCGAGACTCAGTCTCAAAAAAAAAAAAAGCAACAAATTATTCTAAGACTTAGCTACGTGGAATTTACAATAAACTGTATGTATATTTTCATTATTTGCAAATTGCGTGATACACATCCTTTACATAGTAAACTGTATAAGTGTATGTGTATACGTACATACATGTATATATATACATATTCCACCCACACACACACACACACACACACACACAGAGCAGTTGTTACATGTTTACCAGCACGCCACTGCCCGGGGTGAGAACATTCCTCCACGAAGTGTACCCCTCCCCAGCGCCCCACAAGCCTGGGGGATTTAAGGTCTGGACACGTAAAGCCTGACCAAAAGCAAAGGGAGCGCATGGCATTCGGGAGAAAGAGGAGTGACCTGCCCCTCTTCCTCTCCAGACCTCAGTTTCCCCATCTGAAAAAGGGCCCTCCCGCCGGCACAGCTCCCAACGCACCTTCTGGATCATGACGCTGTACATGCCCATGGACTGGAACCCCCTCGTGTAGTAGAGCATGTTCGCCCAGCCCAGGGCCATGGCCAGCACGAGGCAGGCGAGGTACTCTTTGTAGGCAAACAAGTACAAGAAGACAGACAGTATCACAAGCACAGCTTGGATAAAACTGTTCAGGAGACACAGGAAACACGGGCCTTACTTACTTCTCAGCATCAGGGCAAAGATAGGCAAATCCCCCAAACCTCCCTTAAACCCCCTGAGCAGTCACCCCCGTGACGGATGCTGAAGAGACCGGAATCAGGCTGCCTCAGATCCATTTGGCTACCATAGAATTCAGCCTGTAGAGACAGTACTAGATGCCAGTCACAGCAAGTGGTAAGCTGATTGCAACTGGTGGGGACTTAAAAAAACAACAAAAAACACACTTCGACAGGGCCGCAGAAGATTCTAGGGTGCTGCCCCAGAGGCCATATATTTTTTAAATTACCCACACGGGCCTGGCGTAGTGGCTCACGCCTGTAATTCCAACACTTTGGGAGGCTGAGGTAGGAGAAGCGCTTCAGGCCAGGAGTTCAGGACCAGCCTGAGCAACATAGTGAGACTTTGTCTCTACAAAAAAAAAAAAACAAAAGTAGAAAAATAATCTAAATCACCCACATAATTTCTGATTCCCACGTCGATTTGAAAACTACTGGAGTAGACCGAAGATGTGGTAAATGATTGCATTTTTAACCAAAATGACAAAAACTGCCAATATCTATACTTTTAAGCCAATTATAACAAAAGTCCCCCAAACCCTACTTTTTAAATCGTGGTGGTTTCTTTGGGTGGGGGGGCTGCAGGCAGAGACAGAGTGTCGCTGTGTCCCCCAGGCTGGAGTGCAGTGGCACAATCTCTGCTCACTGCAACCTCTGCCTCCCGGGTTCAAGCGATTCTCCTGCCTCAGCCTCCCTGGTAGCTGGGATTACAGGCTTGTGCCACCATATCCGGCTCATTTTTGTATTTTTAGTAGAGAC